CTTGGACTACTCTAGAAGATGCAAGGCTTGTCATTTCCCTGCAAATTTTATGCATCAACCACCTAATTATTGCACCTTGTCCATTTGACGCTTGGGGATTTTGGGTTGAACCGCTACCAAAATCTTTTGGTGCTTGCTTGTATATATTGGGTATAACTGATTAATTCTCATGATAGGCTAGAGTTGTTGCTCTCAAAGAAGTAAAAAAAAAGAGAGAGAATGTTACAAACTTTATCCAAGTAAATATCATATATTGTTTTGGCATTCCTTATTACATAATAGTGAATAATGGCAATCTATTCGATAACAAAATGATGAAAAATATTTGTGATCTCTTTGGCGTCAAGCAACATAACTTTTCTATGTGTTATGCTACTGCTAATGGTCTAGATGAGGCATTTAGTAAGACTCTATGCAACTTGTTAAAGAAATTCATCTCTAAGTGCAAGCGGCATGAACATATGAAAGAGGCTTTGTGGGCATATTGGACAACTCATTGTACACCAACACAAGCTACCCCTTATTCACTTATCTATGGAGTTAAATCCATTTTGCTACTCGAGCATCAAATACCTTCCTTGCGACTTGTTATTCAAAAAGAGATCATCGAAGAAAATAATGGTCGACTTTAACCAATAGAGTTATAGGCTCTTGATGAGAAAAGGTTGGAAGCTCGGCAAAGTCTAAAATGCTATCAAGCCCAACTGTTTTGTTCCTTTAACAAAAGCGTTTGCCCGAGGCATTTTCAAGTGGGATATCAAGCCCTCACAATAAGAAGGCATTTTCTATCGAAATGGAACCAAGTTCAATTCTAAGTGCGATGGACCATATGTTGTTCAAGAAGTCTACTTAAGTGTTGTTTACAAGCTTATGGATACAAAAGGTATGAGAATCGGTCCAATCAATAGGAAATTTTTGAAGAAGTACTATCCTTGAGGGAGATATGCTCCTTAATCTACGAGCATAAACTTTATTCTACTTTTAGGCTACAGGAGTATAAACTGTTCACGACCCAAAAATACCTATTCGGTTAAAAACCTAAAAGGAGGCGGCCTAGTCAAAAGTTAGGACATAAAAGAAGAACTTACATATTCTAAACTATGGTATGACTTGATCCTCTTTACAAGGTACTTAGTCAGCTTAGAGTTTCATTCTAAGTTCAGTAGTATGAGTTCAAAATTATATATCATACCAAGTATTGTCTAAATGAAGTATGATGGAGTGGGATCCACTTGGTTAGAAACTTAATAAATTAGTCTAATTAATTTTTTTTGTTGGTGTAACGACCCAACCGGTCATTTTGAGAGTAATAGCCCTGATTTCCTATTTTTTGCTTCCCTCGTATCGTTTTATGCCTATGTGACCTGCCGGAAGGTTTTGTTTTTGGTTTTAGAGTGTTTTCGGGACACTTAGTCCCTAAAATGAAAGCTTAAGTCTTAGGATTTTGACCGTAGTCAGAAATGTGTAAAGACGAATCTAGAATGGAGTTCTATCGGTTCGGTTAGCTCTGTTGGTTAATTTTAGACTTAGGGGTGTATTCGGATTGTGTTTTGGAGGTATGTAGCTGATTTAGGCTTGAAATGGCAAAAGTCAAATTTTTGGAGATTTTAACCAGTAGTGGACTTTTTGATATCGGGGTCAGATTGGATTTTCGAAAGTTGGAATAGGTTCATGGTATCATTTATGATTTGTGTGAAAAATTTGAGGTCAATAGAACGTGGTTTGATAGGTTTCGGCATCACTTGTAGAAATTTAAAGTGTCAAGTTCATTAAGTTTGGATTGGAGGGTGATTTGTCTTTTTGTTGTTGTTTGACGTGTTATGAGGGATCAACTAAGTTTGTATGGTATTTTAGGACTTGTTGGTGCTTTCGGTTGAGGTCACAGGGTCCTTGGGTGGATTCCAGATGGGTAACGAATCAAATTGAGTTTTGGGAGAATGACTGAAGTTGTTGCACCTGGTATAATCGCATCTGCGCAAGATTAATCGCAGGTGCGACCCCGCAGAAGCGAGCCAAAGGACACATGTGCGGTTTGGAAGGAAGAGGTTAGAGGTCACAGGTGCGGGATTTTGGCCACAAAAGCGGAGTCGCTTCTGTAGAAGCTGGAGCGCAGAAACGGAGTAGCCTGGAGCTAGAGGTTCGCAAGTGCGACTGGAGGCCCACAGATGCGAGATCGCTAGGCAGAAAAAGGGCCAAGCCGAGGGTTTTATCCCATTTTCAATTTTGGGACTTTGGGAGCTCGGATTTGGGTGATATTTTGAGAGATATTTAGAGGAAGCTTTTGGATAATGATTCCTAACTCCCTTATGGTTATATTTTACTAATCTATAGTTTTTCATCATTAATTAAGGAATTTGGGTTGAGAAAATTGGAGAAAATTTTGGAAAGTTCATCAACCCAGTTTTTGAGTTTTGATTGGGATTTTGTTATCAAATTTGGATAAATTTGGTGCGAGTGAACTCGTGAGTGAATGGGTGTTCATATTTTGTGACTTTTACCTATTCCGAGACGTGGGCTCGGGGAGACCTTTTAGGGAGATTTTCGAATTTCTTATTAAAGTCTTGATTTCATTAATTAGATTAGTCTATTATTGTTGTATTTATGATATGTAATTGCTTTTGGCTAGATTTGGGTCATTTGGAGTCGGATATTCGTGGAAAAGGCATTGTTACCGATTGATTGAGCTTGGTTCGAGGTAAGTGACTTGCCTAACCTTGTGTGGGGAAAACTCCCCTTCGGATTTGGTATTTTTTTTATATGTGAGCGCTATGTACATGAGGTGACGAGTGTATACACGAGCTAATTGTTGTAAAACTCCATTTTTCACTGAGTAATAATTTGTTTCACTTTAATTGATTTATACTAGCATGTGTAATTATCCTGTTTAGCCTAGAATAGCATGCCTACGTGTCTTAAATGCTTATCTAAACTCTGAACAACATGCTTAGTGAATTTCCTGCTTCTTCCTTGACTCGTACTTAGTCTAAATTGTAGCGTTTCGTGTTATAGATGTTATCTCCATTGATTGAGCTGCGTATTTATTTTGGGACTACGGAATGGTATTTTGGAAGATCCCCTTGAATATTTACTTTGGGACTACGGGACGGTATCCCAGGAGATCCCCCTGTATATTTGCCTTTGGGATTACGGAAAGGTATTCCGGGAGATCCCCCTGCACATTTACTTTTGGGACTACGAGACGGTATCTCGGGAGATCCTCTATTGTTATTTCTGGTCATTGTGCTGTTATGGTTTTGTGATTTCCTTCTGGTTAAAGATCAATCTTTATTATACTGCGATATTTTGTTCTGTCTTATTATATAAATGTACACACACACCAGTAGGTCCCTGACCCGACCTCGTCAATACTCGACCAAGGTTAGGCTTTGCACTTATTGGGTACCGTTGTGGTGTACTCATGCTACTCTTCTGCACGTGTTTTCGTGTGCAGATCCAAATACTTCTTACCAACCACGTCATCAGTGAGCAGAGACAGTTGGAAACTTTAAGGTATATATGCCGCGTCTGTAAACCTCGGAGACCCTCTCTATTCTCCCATATGTCCATTATCTCCCGTACTTCTTTTGTTAGACTTTGATGTATAAAGACACTAGTTTTCCTTATGTAGTTTGTGACTTATGATGTTCTGGGTTTTGGGAAGACTGTGTAGTATTGAGGTGTTAGTTATTGTACATGCCGAGCAGTATGGTTATCAGTTATGTTATTATTGTTGCAGTTAGTTGTGAGTGGTACTTCTGTTCTTGTTATTTCCGTAATTGTTTAGACTTACCTAGTCGTAGAGACTAGGTGCCGTCACGATGCCTTACGGAGGGTAAATTGGGTCGTGACAGTTGGACTTTGGGTCTTATCGTGTTTTAATGGTTCAATGGGGGCATATCTCTATGGGAAATTGTTGCCTTTGACGGTATAGTAATAGTCTTTTAGAAGCTATTGTACCTTCATATTGGGGTCTTCAATGCCAATTATCAAGTTGAATTCTTTCAGGTGGCTACGTCATCGATTAGTCTGCAAGTTGAAGTTTTCAAATTCACTAGGTCTTCAAAGTTAAGTTCATCAATGCCAAATCTTCAAGTTGAAGTCATCAAATCTACCAAGTCTATAAGTTGGAGTATCCAATCCTTCTAGCTATTTAAGTCTGGTGGTCTTCATGTTAAAGTTTTTAAGTAGCCCGCCTTCAAGTTGAAGTCTTCCAGTCCATTGGTGTTGCACTCTATTTTGCACAAGTCAAAACATAATACAACTAGTGATTCTTCTTAAGTTGATTGAAAAAGAGTCGTCACCTAATACATAAGGTATGTTAGGGTACCTATAAGCTGTGAAAGTCATCATCCTGATGATCTGCTAACCAGTGAGACTTGATAAGTGTTCTAGTTATTTTAAGAAAAATGTGTTAGGCGTCCCTTAAAATCCATCTGAGGTGGGTTCTTAAACTTAAGCTAGGTTTGGGGAAGGAAAGATCTATATTCGGTTTAGTTAGTGGCTATAGTGGTTAACATTTATGAAAATAATATTTTTAGCCTTGTCTTGAAAATTCTTTTTTTTTAAGAAAAGTTGTATATTTCCTTAAAAGGTGATGTTTATTCATAAAGAGATACAGGATTATCTTTGAAAATATGCTCTTAGTTGACGATTGGGTACACCTTTTATCTTAGGAGAAGATTTTAGTACAAAAATTTCATATTTTTTGAACTCATTATTAATCTTTGCAAACTCGATTGTGTGTGACAGGATTTGTTTTAAAACGAATTCGTACCATACGTGAACCATTCGAAGATTTATTTTCATTTCTCTGTCGAAGAGCTTAAAAAGATCAATGAAAATCGTTAGTGGTAAACATAAATAGAAACTTTTTTATTAGATTGGTTACTCTCAAATTACTAGTATTCAAACATTAAAGTAAGTGAACCTCTTGATCTAGTATAGCCTTTTTGCATATGAGTCTCGGTTTGCCTAATTTTTCTAAAAAAGAGCAATCAAAATATCAAAATATCCAATACAATTAGTTTTCCAAAGTATGTATACACACAAAAACAATAAAGAACAACAAATACAATTAAAAGTGGAGGAAGGAGAACTGGACTCTTGGAGTTGCGCTGGCAAGCAGGCCAGGCCCAACAAGTTTTAAATCAGCAGCATACTCAATCAAGCGGGAAATCAAGGGAGTGGCCCAAGTCTGGAAGTTGGGCCTGAGCTCCAAGTAGACTTAATGGGCCCAGATTACACATTCTTAATAAAAGAAAGGGGAAAACAATCAGTACATATCAATAAGATATAGAATAAATGATGACATATAAGTAAAAATCTGAAAAATACAAAAGGGTTTTAGTTTTTCATTTTATGCTAATCATATGAAGATTAGTTAAGGTTGATGACCAAAGGCTTAGGGTGAACCATATCTCATTTATGAAATCCTCTATGAACCCCGGACACTATAGAGTTTACGAGGGCCTCAAGGACCCCGAGCAGTGCTTGTGTCAGGAAGGAGTACTTCAATCACAAGATTAGGCTCAGACCCAAATACACCTGGTCATTGACTCCTTACTCCTTCTCAAAGGTTTAGACACAAATGAATGCCAACATAATAATTTCACATTGCCAGGATAGGAGCAGCAGATATAAAAGGTTAGGATAAACCCTTTTAGGGTTCAAAGATTCAACAACTTTAAATAAGCAGGACACTATAGTTAATCATTAAAATACAAAGGTATGAGCACAATATAATCTTAGGAAAATCAGAATGTAAAGTATAGAGATAGGGCATCACAATATGTATGGAGTCACTACTAAGGCATAATCAAGCAAGATTACAAAGCACAGATAATTGTTTGCACACAGACATGTTTATAACTTTAGGCTCAGAAGTGTTATTAGATAATCTAAATCATCAGTATCATAAAAAGATGAGCACAAACATTTTATTAATTCCACCTAAGATTCAATATTTCAGAACTCCCCTAAGTAGCCTCAGGTCACTATATCAGTTTGTCGGTACTTCTAAGAGCTTCAGCATAATTAAGAGCAAGCATACATCCAACTAGGACCTCATTTCATTAAACACTTACACTAGTAACTTCATTCAGAATTCCTAAAAGGCATGCCAACCATATCAGGTCAGCAGAGACATCAATATAGATGGAAAAGTTGATTTTAGTCTTGTTTAATCCCAATGGCATGATATCTAGTTATAACAACACATGGTCCATCAAACTTTCCAGCTATCAGACCCAAAGAACTTCAGATTAAGTCCTCCATAAGTAGTGATATTAGCAGGCATAAGACAACAAATAATGATATTCAGTTTAATTTTGCAAAGCAAATAGACCCCCAACAAATTAACACAATAGAAATATAGACAGATTCATTAGCAGGGGTATGTCAACATATGTCCAATGCATGATTCTGTATGTAGGCTATATGGGTTTCATGACCAAGTTTACTAGGTGGAGTTATTTATATAAGAGCAGGTCATTATAGGCATTACACACAGATCTCTTAAGAAGAATTATACACTGAACTTGAACCAGTACAACATTATAGCAAAGTCAGGATTATTACTATCACACCTCCTTTTTTATCTACACCCCCGGAAAGGGGCGTAAATAGGAGTTTTTTCAATTAAAGGATAATCGAAACGGAATTTATTATAAAGTTTCAAAGTCGCCACTTGGGAGATTTATGGTGTCCCAAGTCACCGATTGAATTCCGAATCGAGGAAAAGATTGACTCTGTTTAACAGCCCGCGAACCAGAAATCCGAGTAAGGAATTTTGTTAACCCGGGAGAAGGTGTTAGGCATTCCCGAGTTCTGTGGTTCTATCACGGTCGCTCAACTGTTTTGTTCGGCTTAATTATCTGATTTTAAACAGTTTTGAACTTATGTGCAATTTTTAGTTTTAAAACCGCCTTTATTTATTTAAAGAATTAATTCAAGGTCATTTAAAACATATCACAAGCCACACCACATGAAATGCACCCGTGGTTCACGACACGCTTTATTTAACCTTGTTAGAAATTAGAACTGGGTCACATGAAATGCACCCCCAGATTTTAACATGCTTATTTCATTATTATTATCCAAAATTATGGCAGGGTCACATGAAATGCACACCCGATTCCCTTTAATCTAATTGACATAGTTCAGCAATCCAATTTTTATACTGTGACAAAATCACGTTCAACTATAACCAATTCGAGTAAACACGAATATATAACCGAGCAAGCAAATTCAAAACCACGGAGAATAATTACATAAATAACGAGGTCGCATCACCAAACAAATAATTAGTAAGGGCTTGCATAAAACGAGCAGAGGATGAAAGAGCTGAACCTCAATATAGCCGAAATATTGATTGTTTCACTACTTTGAACTCGAGATGCAACGAATCGCAGACGGGAACCGAATTAACACCGGAAAGCTGAAAAACGGACGGAATCTCGAATCGTCACCGGAAACTCAACCAAGCACGAATTCAAACCCACATTTTAATCAAAATTCGCCCTTAGTTTCGGGGCACCACAAGTATATGAGAAATGCCAACTTAGCTTAGATGTACATTGAAACCCACGAAACAAAAGCGTCACCAATCACAAACTATCAATACACAACTAAGATCCAATACTAGCATCAACAAAAACGAAGCTCCTGAATATTAGGTGTATTCATTTCCACATTTTAAAACACTCATAAGCAGGATAAACATAACCGAAGATCAACAAACAAATATTTGAATCGCGAACAGAATTAACGAACGGACGATCTTGTCGGACCCGAACTCGAACCGGCGACTGACCTGAACCTCGAACCTTAGTTTCCGTTCCCTACTCGGTTTTTCTGTCACTCGATCTACCCTTTGAGAGAGAAAGAAGGGCTTCTCTAGGGTGCATCGTTCATGTCTGTTCCATGCGAAGAAGAAGAAGAAACAACAATGACGGGATTTTTTTGATTCCGGCGAACTTGGTTAATGGGGGGATGCAGAGGGTCATCGTTTGGGTGATCGGCGTGAGGTCAGGCGTGGGGTGTGGTGATTTCCGGCGAAGGGTCACTATTTTGGGTTGTTCTGCTGAAGAAAATGAACAATGGCAATGGGTCATTTGGAGAAGATGGAAACGGGGGGTATGGGGTCTGTTTTTGTGCAGCTTTTGTGTGTATTGCTGCTTGTTTCGTTTCAGCTGTTTCCGTTCTCTTCAGCCCTTTTTCTTTGTCTTTCGTTCTTCAGCCTAGGTCTTTAGGAATTGTTTGGATTTTTGTTCCGTTTTTTTCGTTTTTCCTAGCGTTCTTCTTCGTTGAAGAAGGTTCAGAACGAGGGGGGTTGAAGAAGAAGACGCGCAGGGGGGGGGTCTCGTTTGTGCGCAACCTTCTCAGCTGCTGCCAGCTTTTTTGTTCAACTTTTCCCGTTCTTTTTTTTTGTTCATCCCCCTTCGTCTTAGGCTTTGATTTTATATATATAGGTCTAGGTTAGTTTTTTGTAGGGTTTTTTTTTTAGGTTAAGGGGTATGGGCCTTGGAATCATGGGCTTGGAGATTATGGGTTAGGTCCAAAATTAGGCCTAAAATTGGGTTGCTAGAGCCCAAGTTCTATTCTTTCGCTGCGAACGAGATTAAAAATATTGGCCCATTTATTACTTAGTCCTACTATTAAAATAATTATTCAAATAAAACTAACCATTAAAACAAATCTATTTTTGGTATTTTAAAATATCATATAAAAATAAAAATACGACACTATTTTTGTATTATATATTTTTTAAGATTTTTTTTAGATTAAAAATGGCTACAAAATATTAATGAACCTATTTTTGTGATTTTTTGTTTTCTTGTAATAAAATAAAGTAGAAGAGTCAAAATTACTTAAAATATATATATTATGCCTAAATTAAATATTTGACGCTAATATATAGAAAATCTTGGGGAGGGTCAAAAATCACATGTCTACAGCTGCCCCTATTTGATTGGAAACGTACAGAGTTTTCAGACAAAGACTGACTAGACAGGTTTTTGACCCGACCCTTATTTGGAGAGACTAAAACTAAGAGAAAAGGGGAATGTGACCGACCCCTGGTATCTGGGCTGCCTACATATCCTTGGCTATAAAGGAATCAGGCCACGTGTAGTTCAGAAATGAGTGAGATGACGGAGTATGCCGAGGTGGAGATCCGGTCGAGGTGCTGTTCCATCGAGGTTCTGGTCCGCGGTCCCTGTTATTACATCAAAAATCAAATGAAAAAGACTAACTAAACCTGTTAACTACGAGTTACAAGATTCCTATCTATAAGTCTTCGGAAGCTTGATCTTGCGTCTTGAATGGTTCTTCATGCAGACTTTAGATTTGAACCTTGGCGCTTGTTAGCTGCAGGTGCTAGCTCGTTCTTCTTCAGATCTTCGGACCAAGACCGGACATGTAGTGCTTATGACCTCGGCCATGTCTTGAGCAGCTCACATCCTTCAACAACTTCTGCATTTGGATTAACTTGTTGTCTTTCTCTCTTTTTCCTTTATTGTGACTAACTCCTTCATCTAGGACTGCTGACTCGTATTCTTGACGCGAGTTTCTTTTGTTACTGACCTGAATTGCATTCTGAACTGAATTCCCTTTTTTCCCAGGTGGGCGGCTGATTGCTGACCTTGAACCGTCTTCTCTTGTTACTTGACACTGTTTTCCCTTGCACTTTGAACCATTTTCCCCTGAAACTTGAATTGTCTTCCTTCGAAACTGTTTTCCCTTGAAACTCGAGTTGTCTTCCTTTGACACAGCTTTTCCTAGAAACTCGAGTTCTCCCCCCTTGTTCTTCAGGTGGGCACCTGATTACAACAAAACAGACAACACAAAAGAAATTTTTTCTGCCCCAGTTTGTACTAGGAAGATTTGTGAGTTGTTAGCAAAATTGTAAACCACTTGTACTATTGATGAAATGATGAAAGTAAACTAAACAAAGACTAGGAAAACTATAAACTAAGCTTGACTAAAGTAAAACCTAACCCAATTCTCCAGGCGGGGCTTCCTGACTGCTAACTTGAAATGCATTCCCTGCTCTCCAGGCGGGCTCTTGACTGCTAACTCGAAATGTATTCCCTGCTCTCCAGGCGGGCTCCTAACTTCAACTTGAAAGTGCTCCCTGCTCTCCAGGCGGGCTCCTGACTTCAAGATAGACAAAACAAAGAATTTGAAAGCTAAAATTTAAATTTTACTCCCTTGTTCTCCAGGCGGGCTCCTGACTGCTGCGCTTGAAATTATTCCCTGCTCTCCAGGCGGGCTCTTGACTGCTGACTTGAAATGTATTCCCTGCTCTCCAGGCAGGCTCCTGACTGCTGACTTGAAATGTATTCTCTGCTCTCCAGGCGGGCTCCTGACTGCTGCGCTTGAAATTATTCCCTGCTCTCCAGGCGGGCTCTTGACTGCTGACTTGAAATGTATTCCCTGCTCTCCAGGCAGGCTCCTGACTGCTGACTTGAAATGTATTCTCTGCTCTCCAGGCGGGCTCCTGACTGCTGACTTGAAGTGTATTCCCTGCTCTCCAGGCGGGCTCGTGACTTCAACATAGACAAGACAAAGAATTTGAAAGCTAAAATTTAAATTGTACTCCCTTGTTCTCCAGGCGGGCTCCTGACTGATGCGCTTGAAAGTATTCCCTGCTCTCCAGACGGGCTCCTGACTACTGACTTGAAATGTATTCCCTCTTCTCCAGGCGGGTTCCTAACTTCAACATAGATAAAACAAAGAATTTGAAAGCTAAAATTTAAATTGTACTCCCTTGTTCTCCAGGCGGGCTCCTGACTGTTGCGCTTGAATGTATTCCCTGCTCTCCAGGCGGGCTCCTGACTTTAACATTTGAAAGTATTCCCTGCTCTCCAGGCAGGCTCCTGACTGCTAAACTTGAATGTATTCCCTTCTCTCCAGGCGGGCTCCTGACTTCAAAATAGACAAAACAAAGAATTTTTAAGCTAAAACTTANAAATAGACAAAACAAAGAATTTTAAAGCTAAAACTTAAATTGTACTCCCTTGTTCTCCAGGCAGACTCATGACTACTGCGCTTGAAAGTATTCCCTGCTCTCCAGGCGGGCTCCTGACTGCTGACTTGAAATGTATTCCCTGCTCTCCAGGCGGGTTCCTAACTTCAACATAGACAAAACAAGGAATTTGAAAGCTAAAATTTACATTGTACTCCCTTGTTCTCCAGGCGGGCTCCTGACTGCTGA